TTGCAATGCAATTTTCTCTTTACAAAATCCTGCGTGCAACACCTTCCGTAGCCAGGTTTGCAGACTGCCTGCCCCTGCCCCTGCTGCAGCCTGCTTTCCCCACCCCTCCACCCCCAAAGAAGAGCTCATCAGATTTTGCTCAGGATTGCTTTGTCCTCCCTTGCCCTCTCTCTCCTCAGCCTTCTCAAAAGGAAAGGGAGAAGGCAAGAGGGAAACAAGGAACAGCACTCCCAAGGTAGCCTAGGCTAATCTGTTCAGCTAGCTTTAGGCTTCTGCAGAATCAAGTCTATCCAAACAAAACATGGTTCTAGGAGAACTTCTTTTCATCCAAATTCAATAAATTTGTAATACCTCCTTCTCATACACCAGATATTGGCATGTCTTCATCAGATAGGGTAATGCTTTTAGGTAGCTGAGACCTAACAGGGAGCTGCTAATCAGCCAAGGCCTGGGTTTCAAAAAGCACTCCGCTTCCTATAGAGAAGCCAGAAGTGTTATGCAGCAGCTGGCTATCCCCAGACATATTATTAAGGTGCCTGGAGGGAAGGCCAACCAATCTGAAATACAGGCCCTGACCAGCTGTGTGTCAAGCCTGGGAAGCTACTGCACTACCACCCCTGGCCATCTCCAAATGGCTCCCCCTCTCCCAGGTCCATATCCTGAAATCAAGCAGGAGCAAGTACAAATCAGAAATTTTTGTTCTTCATCTTTATTTTTCCCCTCCCCCACAATAAACTGAATTGCAATCCATTCAACTGAAAAAAAAAAAAATCACAATAAAGCTAAAACAGTATACTCAACAATGCCGTTGGTAGTCAACTAGTGAATACATTTTTTATTTTTATTTTATTTTATTTTTTTTACAGTACGCCCATTGCCAGTAAGCACAATACAACAGGCTAAAACACCGGTTCACAATGTGCTCCCAAGGTTCCTCAAGTAATCCCTTGATATTTCCCACAGTATTACTACTATGAAGCAACTGTATAAGTCTGAGTGTTCCCTTTCTCTAAGCCCATGCACTATGTCACTTGGTGAGGGATGGATGGATGGAGGGCTGCATGGCGGGAGGGTGGCTGGCAAGCAGCGAGCCTGATTACTGGCCATGGCCCAGTGGCGTTTTATTTTTAATTTATAATGGTATGCATGCCTAATGGGAGGTGGGTGGGGTGGTTTTTGGAGCTACAAACAGCTGCACCAGGCTCCAGCACCCTGCTATCACCTCTGTGCTGGGAGCAGGGGAAGAGACTGGGGCTGTGCTGCCTCGGGTCCTTCCTCTACTGCCCGCTCAGACCCATGGATGCACACGGCAGTAGGGAGCTGATGCTGGAGCCTGGCACAGCTGTTTGGAATCTCCCAGCTGCTGGCCCTGGCTCTGGGTAGCTACTGCCAGCCAGGAGCTCTGGCTACCCCTTATGCTTATTTCATTTTTCTGGCATCCCAGCACTCCAGCACCTTTCAAGGTAGGGAGTGTAGTGTTTTTCAACCCTCCAGCCAAAAATCATTGCATATCCCTGTGCTCAGGGAACGCGCTGCTCCACCTATCAAAACGGCAACAGCCCAGGGGCAGAAAGGAAAAACAAAAAACAGACACACACACACGGCCCACGGGCCAGATCCAACGCACCAGGTCATTCTATCCAGCCCGCAGAGTCCAAAAAAAGTTTTGTAAGCTAGTATTTATTCACCCTTGGCTCCCTACAGGCTTGAGCAGCCCACCCCCAGCCAGTTCCCTGGCTTCCTGCCCCCAACCCTGCATGGATACCACGTGGCTGTGGCTCCCGGCTACATCCCCAGACTACAGAGAACAAGGTTGTGTGTACCCCTCTCTCTCTTTCTCTCTGCAGGCACAGAGACAGACTGCAGGCACAGGGGCAGAGTGTGCGCACACTCATGAGTCCCACATGTATACCCCACCATACACATGCACCCACGCCTCCCTTCACCCTGCCATACATAAACCCCAGCCCCCCTCCCCACCCCATATCCACCCACACCCCATGTATCCACCCATACCCACAGCCCCCACAAACCTCTACTCCTGTATATTATGGGGAGTGGGTAAGACTTCATTTTAAGCTACTGTGCAGGCATCTCTATGTACACTACACAAACACATGTAAATTAGGACAAAAATATTTTTTGAAATCAAATTAATGAACATTATAGATCTTCAATTTTTAGAATATAACTTTGTTTTTTTCTGGTTCCAAGATGGCAAAACCCCTTGCTGAAAGGAGTATTTCTGGGGGCAATGGGAAGGATTTCTGGAGGCAATAGGAAGGACTTCTGGTGGCAAAGGTCAGGGGGTAGGGGGCAGGACTTCTAGTCACAAGATGGGGACTGGGGGCCAGGCACCTGTCAAGGGGTCGGGCTACCCCCGCAGCCCTCAACAGCATGTCAAAACTTGATACTTGGCCCTCTGCCCAAAATAGTTGCTCACCCTGCCACAACCCTTCCCATGCTAGACTTACACTTACTCCAGCAGCCTCAAACCCAGGCCCCAGGCTGTATATCCCTACACACCCAACTGCTAGAATTTGCTAGAGAGGCCCCCCCTCAATGTTTTCCTTCAATCTAGCTGCAGGCTCCCCACGTGGAAGAAGCTGTTTTAGCAAAAAGGAGCCTGCTTCTGGCAGCACTCCTATCAAAACCTGCTCCCACACTGCAGGATATAAGCATCCATCTAGTTTACCATTAAACCTCAAGGTCACTGGCTGCCTGTGCCTTGCATTTGGCTGTGGGGGCCCTTCCTGCTCCAGCTACTGAAATGGCCACAACTCTTACTCATTTTTTTTCCACCGAGTGTTATGCTTGTTTTAGTTGCATCAAGTCAGCCTCACGCAGGGGACATATGAGCCTGACTGGAAAGTAACTGGGTTTAAGGCCTCAAAGCCCATACCTTTAGCCAGCATTTCCTAAACTTGACTACTGGAGACACACTCT